AGGAATTAGAGACCTGAGGTTTAAACAGTGCTCTTCTTCAAGGATTCTCTGGGGTAGGGTTGGTGGGCAGAGCCTTAAATGCACAGAGAAGTAGATGAACTCAGAGAGGCAGGGAGTAGGGGATGTGAAGGAAGGATAGTGTGGGGATCCTTAGGATTAAGAATTTTTTGAACATAGTCTTTTTCTCCTGTACAGCAAAAGAATCATCAATCTTGGGCCTGTGCATCCAGGGCCTCTGAGTCCAGAACCACAACCCGTGGGTGTCAGGGTCATCTGTGGACATTGCAAGAATACTTTTCTGGTGAGGAGAGATATTGGGAAGCCCTGGAAAAAAGAAAAACAAGAGTAATCATGAATATATTTCTGAATGATGATAATGAATCCTGAAAAGGTCTGTTCTATGAGGACCTATTTCTCACCCTCTCCCTGCCCTAGGGCTCTTATTGAAGATGACTTCTACTATTAAAGCTTCTACTATTAATTGCTTTCTCCCTTTTTCTTTCTCCATAGTGGACAGAGTTCACAGATCGAACCTTGGCCCGTTGCCCTCACTGCAGGAAAGTGTAAGTGATTAAAGAGTGGCATCGTTGGGCTGGTAATGGGGTAATGTGTAGAGTGAAAACTACAGGGTCATTACAAGCGTCTATTTCTGTTTGGCTCCCCACAGGTCATCTATTGGGCGCAGATATCCACGAAAGAGATGTATCTGCTGCTTCTTGCTTGGCTTACTCTTGGCAATCACTGCCACTGGCCTTGCTGTGAGTAACCTTGATCAGACCCTTCATTCTTCAGCCTCATCTCCACAGGCTAAGATTTGGGAAATGGCTACTCCCCAAAAAAGTGAAACTGAGGGCTGGGTTGTTTTGTCTTGTTTTAATGTGCAGATGAGCTGAAGTTGAACTAACTGATAAACAGTCCTCACTGTTACTAAAGGAGTAAAAACCAGGCATCTTTTTTATGCAGAGGATAGGACAACAGAGAAATGGCTTAAATTAAAGAGTTGGTATTAGAAAACCTAAGATATTGAGAAAATCTGACAGTTGTCTAGGATTGTATGAGTTATGTTCCTGCCTAGGAGGAGGGAGATGAACAACTGGGCCTTTAAAAAGGTCCCTGAAGGTGCCTACATGTGGATAGGGAACAGGAACTGAAGCTTGAGTTCTGTGTTACTGTTACCGGGGCTCCTAGAAAGTGGTGAGAGATCAGCAGTAACCCCATCTTTCTTTTTCTTCTTCACCTTCATCAGTTTGGCACATGGAAGCATGCACGGCGATATGGAGGCATCTATGCAGCCTGGGCATTTGTCATCCTGTTGGCTGTGCTGTGTTTGGGCCGGGCCCTCTATTGGGCCTGTATGAAGGTCAGCCACCCTGTCCAGAACTTCTCCTGAGCCCCATGATGACCCACAGACTGTGCCTGGCCCCTCCCTGGTGGGGACAGTGACACTACAGAGGGAGCCGTGGTAAAAGGCTCCCCAGGGCTTCTGTAAGAGGAGCCGAGCAGCTGCCTTCCTTTTCCCTGGGGAGAGGTAGGAAGGAACCAGGCCCTCACCTAGGTTTGGAAGGGTAGATAAGACCACTGCTGGCCATCTGCTTTCCCCCAGGGGTTGCTGTGTTTAGAGTGAAGTAGGTGAAATGTTGCCCTTAAACCTGGGCCCTAAAAGACGGTTCTAGCCTTGTTCTTCCTATGTGCTCCCCGAGAGCCATTCCTGTCCCTTACACATTCCAGGGCAGGGTCGGGGTGGGTAGCCCTGGGGGTTTCCCTCCCTCTTGTGCACTCTTAGGACCTTGCTGCTGCTATTGCACTTCACCAGGGGCTGGCTCTGGCCTCAGTACCCTCAGTCTCCTCTCCCCCCATTCTGTGTCCTGTGGGGGTGGGGTCAGCTGCTGCTCTGTACAGAACCACAGGAACTGATGTGTATATAACTATTTAATGTGGGGTATGTTCCCCTAGTCCTGTGTTTTCCCTCATTCCTCCTAACCTTACCTCTCAGTTGCAGTATTTAACTGGGCTGGGTAGGGTTCTTCTCTGTTGGGGGAGGTTAGGGACTCATCCTGTGCTTGTAAATAAATAAGGTTATGACTGTCCTTTTCCAGTTGTTAATCTATACGTATGAAAAGATGAGGGGAATTTGTAGCCCTACAAAGGGGTAGAATACAAAGACAGCAAGGCTGAAACTATGGCTCTTTATTTTCACATGGACAGGTCAAGGAAGTCATCAGTAGCTTTTGTTTAATGTAAAAAAAAAAAAACCCATCAAAAACAAAACCAAACCTCTGGCTTAAAACCTAAGTCTGTCACTAGGAGCCTGGTTGAAGGATTCATATTTTCACAAAGAAAATACAGTGCAGATTTCTCTAGAGAGCAGTTTTTAAAGAAGTTTGGGAGTGGGGGTAAGAAGTTTTAAAGCTAGTTTGGGGGGCTTATTTCCCAGGCTCAAAGTGATTTGGGGGAGGTGTCACAGTGCTAGGTATAGGGTGATGGGACAGTGGTCACTGCCCAGGGCCTTGGAACGGATCTTGCTGTCACACAATGCAGGTAACAGAGAGTGAGACAACAAAAAATAATCAAGGCGCCAACCAACATTTTTGGAGCGTGCATTCATCATATAGGTCCAAAAGGTGTAGGCATAGGCCGTGTCAGGGTAGAGATGCCGGAAACTGTCAGCCAGTGGCACAGCCTGCAGCAATTCCCCAAAGCCCTGACGCTCTTGTGGAGTGAAGCCAGCATTCTTTTTGTTTCCCTTGGGGTTACGAAGGTCAATTTCTTCATGAGCCACATTGAGATCCCCACATAGCACAAGGGGCTTGCGGGAAGCCAGGCCCTTCAGGAACTTGCGAAAGGCTTCGTCCCAGCGCTGCCGGTACTCCAAGCGCACCAGACCCCGGCCTGCATTAGGTACATAGGCTGTTACCAGCACAAATGCATCAAATTCAGCCACAATCACTCGGCCTTCCTGATCATGTTCCTCCTCACCTACAGAAATGATGAAACAATCAGCATAAAGAGGTATAAAAGGGAAAACAGAGAATAAAGGAATGAAGAATTGGGGCTCAGTGGGGTATTAGCAATTGGTTTGAAAGAGCTCAGGCGTTAGGAATCAACAGGGTCTCACCAATGCCATAGGAGACTTTGAGTGGGCACTGGCGGGAGAGCAGGCCCACACCACTGTACCCTTCCTTGTCTGAAGGAGCTGACCAGTACTGATGGGATAGTCCAGACAGCTCTTGAAGTTCAGCTGGTAGTTTGTTCTCTGAACATTTGGTCTCTTGGAGGCACAGGATATCTGGGGCTTCTTCCTTTACCCACTGAGTGAAATGACAGGTAGAAAAAGTATCATCAATTCAGCAGACATTTATTGAAGTTATGTTCTAAGTACTAGAGATACACAAGTGAGACAGTCCTTGTGGAAAAGGAGTGTAACAGTCTAGGCACAATATTTAAATAATTTAAACAATGATAAATTATGTAACTGCCACTGATGGAGGGAGGTAGGGAGAGTGGTACAGGCAACACTGAGATGTGGTTTTCTACAGGCAATGGATAGCCAGCTGAGATTTTTAAGCAGTAATTTAAATGGAGGATATGCTGGAGATAAAATGGAGCAAGTCCAGTAACAAGGTTTTTGCAACATGCTGGGGAAGAGATGAGGACATCAAAACAATGCTAAGGGAATTGAAGGAATGGACCTTTAGGAAATACAACTGGTATGAGTTGGTGAAGGCCCTCCTTGTGCCTCTCCCACAAGAAAACTATCAATAAGGGAAAAATAAAACCTACATGCTTGGGACTAAAATGAGAAAAGGCAATTAAACCCGTAGATCATTCAATACTAAAGGCTGTCTCTTCCCCTCCTTGAATTGCACTCACATCTAAACCTTTCTTCTTAATCCAGGCTCGAAGCCCATCCACATTCCAGGAGCAGATCTTGAGTGTGGCTGATTTGCCACTGGGTGAGGTTTTGTGATCTGGGGGGTCCTCATACAGGACTGGTCCCTCTCCCGCTGCCTCTTTTTCGTTTTTCTTTGCTCCTGCCTTACTCTTCTTGGCCTCTGGCTCTGTAAATGAGTGATAAAACTTGGCGGTATTTAATTTTGATCCAGAGTTAACTACAGACCCACAGCCTGCAGTTGCCGCGCCTTTTTCAGAAACTCGGCAAAAATATATTTAGTCTGGCCTACTTCCGTTCATCGGAGCAATTAGAAACACCCCATCGCAGCCTCTAGGGAGACGGGCTCATTTCATTCTCTTACCAGTCTTGGGCCCTTCTCCGTCTTCTGCCACCGCTCCCTTTTTCCCACGCTTCGGCATCACTGTAACAAACGCCCTTCGGCACCCGTTCCACGTCGCCCACCGAATCAGTATTTTTACCGCGTTGCCTACAGACGCAAAGAAATCATGAAACCAGCTGAGGCTGAGGAAAAAACTCCTCCCTCGGGCGCCCTCGCACTAGGTCCCGCCTTTGAAACCATATTATCTCAGAATCCTTTCCCCGCCTCCGTGCACTATAGGCCCTTCAGCCCCTCACCCACAAGACTAGATCATTCTATACTGCCTTGTACCCTCCTCCCGAGATCTGCCCTCCGGCCAATCCAGGGCCTTAATTAAGGGTGCCGATTTAGGCTGGCCGATCAGACGTCCAGAGAAGCCCCTCTGATGGGCAAAGAAGAGCAACCCCGTATCTGACCTCCCCGAGTCCCAGCCTGGCTCCTCCTCACCCGAGCACAAAGAATGCAGCACGTTGTGGCCCCACGTGGGTAACTGGCGTGGTCACGTGTTCTGAGGTATGTATTAGGTGGCGGAGGAATGCTGGTGATTGGTTTGTCTGGCACCACATGACGGAGCAGCTCGGCCTTCCCGCCCTTCGCCCTGTCTCCCGGAATCGGAAGGACCTAACCCTCCATCCTCGGGCTGTTTATCGGTGTGCCAGATGCCCGACTCATTCTGCCACCTTGGCCGAAGACCCCAACACTGTGCAAGAGGGAGAAAATCAGTGGAGAAGCCTGGGCTGAACCGCGGGAGAGAGGCAGAAGAACGGATGGGAACGTACGGAGGAGATGCCGGCTCAGCGTCTCTGGCAGTTAGGAGGACAGGTCCTTGAAGGGGCCTTGACGGGTCGCCGTGACACGGGGGCGGGGCCGGCGCGGGCGCGCCACCGCAGGAGTACTGTAGTGTCTGTCTGTGCGCGCCGCTACCTAGCGGCGGCTTGCTCGTTGTCTTTCTTTGCGCTCCGGAATCAGCGACCTTGCAGGGCCTGGTGAGGGCTCCGCGGATCCGTTGGCAGCTAGGAGCCCTGCCGGCATTTTCTCTCAAGCTTGGCCATGCCTACGGTGCTGGGTTTTGAAGGCAGCGCCAACAAGATTGGCGTGGGAGTGGTGCGGGATGGCACGGTGCTGGCGAACCCGCGGCGGACCTACGTCACGCCTCCGGGCACAGGTGCGTGAGTAGTGGATTTGTAGTTTGCGGCGCGCTTCTCTGCACAGCATGACCTTCCTCCTCCTTAAACACTAGTGACGTAGGGAGTGGAGCGCATTGTCCGCTTCGTAGAGTTTTGATCCGAGTCTCTGAGATTCCGACAGTATTAACGTCACAAGGCTGATGGATAGAAGAGTCGCAGGCACTTGGACCTGGATCTTTTGGGTACATTCAGCTTTTATTGAGTGCCTTTTATGTGCTAATAATCAGCTGGCTGCTAGATACAAAAATAGGTCTTATGAGCCTGCTATGGAATCCGACATATAAACAGAACTTTACAGTATGGTAAATAGTGTAATATAGATGCAATCAAAATATTCTAGAATGAGAAGGAGTTTAAAGACTCTCAGCTTAGGTGTCAGACAGAACTGGCTGGCTTTGCAGTATTCATGTTCAGTATTTGTTTTTGGACTTCTGTTCCTTACTCTTAAAATGGGAATAATAATACAGTACCTGGGTCATTGGGTCTTGAGAATTAAAAGTACCAGGCACATTACAACTTGTAATAAATGTTATTTGTAAGTTATGATGTTACGTCTTGGCTATCCTCCTCCAAATTACCTGCATACATAGGAAAGGGTAATTGACTTGCATATACCTGAAAAGCCTCCATGAACAGGCGATGTTGTGACAGGTTACTCATTAACAATACATATGGGGCCGGCCCCGTGGCTTAGCGGTTAAGTGCACGTGCTCCGCTACTGGTGGCCCGGGTTCAGATCCTGGGCGCCCACTGACGCACCGCTTCTCCGGCCATGCTGAGGCCGTGTCCCACATACAGCAACTAGAGGGATGTGCAACTACAACATACAACTATCTACTGGGGCTTTGGGGGAGAAAAAAAGGAGGAGGATTGGCAATAGATGTTAGCTCAGAGCCGGTCTTCCTCAGCAAAAAGAGGAGGATTAGCACGGATGTTAGCTCAGGGCTGATCTTCCTCACAAAAAAAAAAAAAAAAAAATAAATAAAAAATAAAAGTAAAAAAAAAAACAAAAACCAATACATGTGTATGTTTAGCACTCACTCGTCTAAGCATTTTGGCACCAGGAATACAAAGATAAATAAAATAGCCAGTGCTTTGAGATGCTCATGGTTAAAACTTGGGAAACCACAGATAATTATAATGCTATAATAGTTATTTGTTAAATACAATGATGTGATCATGCACAAGGTTCTGTAGGCTTGCAGAGAAGATCTCCAAAGGCTATGAGATAGGTGTCACTTGAATTAAGTCCTGAAGGCTGAGTAGGAGTTGGGTATGAAGAAGGGCATTTCTGAGAGCTGTTCAGCATGGCGCAACAGGCTGGAAGAAGTATATCTGAAAACCTGGAAGACAGGATGCATGAGGAGAGTGAAAGGGACTCTTCTTACACTACTAAAATGCCTGTTTTTTACTTCTACCTACCTTTGCTATAGAAAAGCCCTATGATCTCTGACCTGTGTCCATCTCCTAGGATTCCTTCCAGGTGATACTGCCAGGCACCACCGAGCCGTTATCCTGGACCTGCTGCAGGAGGCACTAACAGAGGCTGGATTAACCTCCCAGGATGTTGACTGCATTGCCTACACCAAAGGTATGGCTGGGAGCATGGTCGCCAGTGGAAGAATATACAGGCATACCTCAGAGATATTGCAGGTTTGGTTCCAGACCACTACAATAAAGCTAATATCGCAATACAACAAGTCACACAAGTATTTTGGTTTCCCAGTACATATAAAAGTTATGTTTACACTGTACTGTAGCCTGTTAAGTGTGCCATAGCATTATGTCTAAAAAAAACAATGTACGTACCTTAATTAAAAAACACTTTATTGCTAAAAATTGCTAACCATCATCTGAGCCTTCAGCGAGTCATAATCTTTTTGCTGGTGGAGAGTCTCACCTCAATGTTGATGGCTGCTGACTGATGATGGTGGTGATTGCTGATGGTTGGGGTGACTAGGGCAATTTCTCTTTTTGGGGGGGGTGGGGCTGGGGCCCAAGACAAGCCCTGGCCAGGTGCTCACTGTGGTCACCCTGGTTCTGCCCCTTCTCTCTGAGGGGCAGTTTCTTAAAATAAGACCAACAATGAAGTTTGCTGCAGCAATTGACTCTTCCTTTCATGAATGGTTTCTCTGTGGCATGCAATGCTATTTGATAGCATTTTACCCACAGTAGAACTTCTTCAGAATTGGAGTCAGTCCTCTCAAACCCTGCTGCTACTTTATCAACTAAGTTTGTGTAATATTCTAAATCCTTTGTTGTCTTTTCAACAGTCATCACAGCATCTTCACCAGGAGTAGATTCCATCTCAAGAAACCACTTTCTTTACTCATCCATAAGAAGCAACTCCTCATCTTTTAAAGTTTTATCATGAGAGAAGCAATTCAGTCACATCTTCAGGCTCCACTTCTAATTCTAGTTCTCCTGCTGTTTCTACCACATCTGTAGTTATTTACTCCACTGAAGGCTTGACCCCTCAAAGTCATCCATGAGGGTGGGAATCAGCTTCTTCCAAACTCCTGTTGATGTTGATGTTTTGACCTTTTCTCATGAATCACTAATGTTCTTAATGGCATCTAGAATGGTGAATCCTTTCCAGAAGGTTTTCAATTTACTTTGCCCAGATCCCTCAGAGGACACTATCTATGGCAGCTATAGCCTTACGAAATATATTTCTCAATGAGACTTGAGAGTTGAAACTATTCCTTGATGCATGGGCTGCAGAATAGATGTTGTGTCAGGCATGAAACAACATTAATCTCATTGAACATCTCTATCAGAGCTCTTGGGTGACCAGGTGCATTGTCACTGAGCAGTAATATTTTGAAAGGACTCTGTTTCTTCTGAGCAGTAGGTCTCAACAGTAGTCTTAAAATTATCAGTAAACCATGTTCTAATACAGGTTTTGGATCATCCAGGCTTTGTTTTCCATTTATAGAGCACAGGCAGAGTAGATTTAGCATAATTCTTAAGGGCCCTAGGATTTTTGGAATGTAAATAAGCCTTGGCTTCAACTTAAAGTCAGCAGCTGCATTAGCCGCTAACAAGAAAGTCAGTCTGTCGAAGCTTTGAAGCCAGGCATTGACTTCTCCTCTCTAGCTATTAAAGTCCTAGATGGCATCCTCTTCCAATAGAAGGCTGTTTCATCAACATTGAAAATCTGTTGTTTAGTGTAGCCACTTTCATTAATCATCTTAGCTAGATCTTGTGGATGACTTGCTGCAGCTTCTACATCAGCACTTGCTGCCTCACCTTGCACTTTTATGTTCTGGAGACGGCTTCTTTCCTTAAACCTCATGAATCAACCTCTCCTAGCTTCAGACTTTTCTTCTGCAGCTCCCTCACTTCTCTCTGCCTCCACAGAATTGAAGAGAGGTAGGGCCTTGCTCTGGATTAGGCTTTGGTTTAAGGGAATGTTGTGACTGGTTTATCTTCTATCCAGACCACTTAAACTTTCTCCATATCACTAATAAGGCTGTTTTGCTTTCTTATCATTCATGTGTTCACTGGAGTAGCACTTTTAATTTTCTTCAAGAACTTTTCCTTTGCATTCACAACTTGGCTAACTATTTGGCTCAAGAGGCCTAGCTTTTGGCCTGTCTTGGCTTTTGACATGTGTTTCTCATTCAGCTTAAGCATTTCCAGCTTTTGATTGAAAGTGAGAGACATGTAACTCTTGCTTTTACTTGAACGCTTAGAGGCCATTGTAGGGCTATTAGTTGGCCTAATTTCAATATTGTTGTGTCTCAGGGAATAGAGAGACCTGAGGAGAGGGAGATGGGGAAGTGGCCAGTTGGTGGAGCAGTCAGAACACACACAACATTTATCAGTTAAGTTCACCATCTTAAACAGGCACAGTTCATGATGCCCCAAAGTAATTACAATAGTAACATCAAGGATCACTGATCAGAGATCACCATAACAAATATAATAATAGTGAAAAATTTGAAATATTGCAAGAATTACCAAAATGTGTCACAGAGACATGAAGTGAGCAAATGCTGTTGGAAAAATGGCGCTGGTAGACTTGCTTGACACAGGGTTGCCACAAATGTTCAATTTGTAAAAAAGACAATATCTGTGAAGTGCAATAAAATGAGGTATGCCTGTACCCAGGGTTTGGCCAGGTCAAAACAGCTTCTAGCTCACCGTTGCTACCACCACTACCCCTAACCCACCTCTCACATCCCTTACTTCCCCCAGCTCTGTTTTTCCCAATCTCTGTAGGATTCTAACTCCCATTTCTATCCCCATAGGACCCGGCATGGGTGCCCCACTGGCATCTGTGGCTGTTGTGGCCCGTACTGTGGCCCAGCTGTGGAATAAGCCATTGCTGGGTGTGAACCACTGTATAGGCCACATTGAGATGGGCCGCCTCATCACTGGAGCCACCAGCCCAACTGTGCTGTATGTCAGCGGAGGAAATACACAGGTATTTACAGTACCCCACCATTCCTTCTTAATTTCTAAGGCACTGTACCAGCAACTTTCATGTTCTGCCTGAGTAGCAGGAACAGCAATAACAAAGTGGGGCTCAAATGAACCTAAAATGTTATGCACTAGAAAACCCACAATAAAGTTTGTAACATTGCAGATTTGGGCAGGATGATCAGAACAATATGTGGTTATAAAGATTAAGAATTTCCAATTTGAAAAAGGAAAGAATGGTAAGGATTGAAGCCTTCAAAATAATGAAAGGATTTTCACTTTCATTATTTTGAGCTTATTTCTTTGATGAATCTTAGCAATTAAAAGTAAGGGACACTACCCAATTTGTTTCTTTAGGACAACTACATGTTTTGTTTTACGTTACTGGTGGTAAATGTATAAAAGTTGTTATTCTAAGAGTAGGGAAAACAAGGGCCAGCCTGGTGGCACAGCAGTTAAGTGCGTGCGCTTTGCTTCAGTGGCACGGGGTTCGCAGGTTCAGATCCCAGGCGCACACCGACGCATGTCTTGTCAAGCCATGCTGTTGCGGCGTCCCATATAAAAAGTAGAGGAAGATGGGCACAGATGTTAGCCCAGGGCCGGCCTTCCTCAGCCAAAAGAGGATTGGCATCAGATGCTAGCTCAGGGCTAGTCTTCCTCACAAAAAAAAAAAAAAAAAAGAGTGTGAAAACATAAATAACTTTAAAAAACACTTTATAAATTATAGATGGTATTTTAAGTTCATAAGTAAAGCCAGAGTTGTTTGAGATACCTGACAAGACCTTTTTAGGTTGGGATTGGAAAACTCCAGCCTTCCTTTTCCTACAGAACACCTGTTGGGGTTAGTGTGAGTAATAGGCTTTGTCCCCAGCTTATGAAAGGGTTATGTTCTAATACTTCATTTTGTGAAATAGTTATTAAAGATGAAGTATACATTCCCGTGAAATCGATGTGGGAGCTTTAACAGGTAGAGGGCTAGTAGCTGGTTGAGGCCTGAAGGATGACATACAAAGGTAGAGACTTGGGGTGTGGTGAGCTGCAGCAGAGGCTTACAAGAGTTAACTCAGAAGACCAGTGATAGAGGCTTCTCTTCTCTTCCTCTTCCGTTTTGAAGCCTGCCTAGGTGTAAAAAACAAGGAAGATGATTAGGTAGAGAGAAGTAGATAACAGAAGTGGAAACGCAGGATTTTTTCCTTCCCCTTTTGTTGCCAGCCTTTGCCAGCAGAGTAGGATCTACATCAGAAGGGAAGGAAATCCCCAGCAGCACCAGGAAGGGAAGGGGACTTCTTAGGGTCCCTAGGGAGCACTCATTGTCAGAAGCATGGAGCATATGTGTCAGTGGGTGATAACTATTCTCTGTGCCAGAAGGTGATCACATATGAAGATGAGCATAAGTTGATGACCAGTGCTGAGCTGAAGGGGCCATTAGTCTGACCCAGTATGAGATTTTTGAGTTTTCCAACTCTGCCTCTTCTCTTGTTTCCAAATACCACTGCCCTGGTAGGATAATCTAGAAGGACTCTGGTTCCCTGCCTCCAAGCAAGAAAGCCTGTTCCCTAGTCCATGCTGTCAAGACTGCTTTTAAGGGATAGGTCAGGAACCTCCAAGCTAGAAAAATGTATTTGAAAGGACAGTTGGCTTCTGCCCTGACCTAGACTATCTTCTGTGGATTAGGAATCTGCCCTGGGAATCCTCAGGGTGTATATGGGCTTCTTCTTAGATAAAAGCTATAAAAAATTACCCATTTAGGATTTGGGAAAGTACTTTTTTCTGTTTCTTATTGGAAGCTCTGGTGGCCCTGTTGATCCTCTGCTGTGTTCTTCCCCAAAGCCAAATGCTCCTCTTTACAGACTTGAGCTTTCATGGACATCCTCATCACCCTTAGGTGATTGCATACTCAGAACATCGCTACCGCATCTTTGGGGAAACCATCGATATTGCTGTGGGTAACTGTCTGGATCGTTTTGCTCGAGTGCTGAAGGTAAGCCATTGGGGCTGCAGAGAACATGAGATGTGGGTGAATTTCTGGGGAGTCATGGAAATAGAGGGAGAAAGTAGTAAATTAGCCTCTTATGCTTCCTGGATATCTGACTTCATCCTCTTTTTCCTTCTACTAGATTTCCAATGACCCAAGTCCAGGCTACAACATTGAACAGATGGCAAAGCGGTAAGGAGATACAAGGTGGAAGGAGGCTGACTGGTGGGGATTCAGGGATTTCCCTGTATATATATTAATGAGATTTGGGAGGGGCTTTGGACAGTGAGCAGCCAGCTGACTACAGGCTTAGCGCCTCATATACTCACTCCCACATAGAGGCAAGAAGCTAGTTGAGCTGCCATACACTGTAAAGGGGATGGACGTCTCGTTCTCGGGGATCCTGTCTTTCATTGAGGTGAGTGTGGGGGAGGGGAGGAGACGGGAACTTTCATGCTTTTTAATGAAGCATATCTGTTTTGCTCACCATTGTATTTCCTGCATATAGCATAGTACTGGCCCATATTAGATGCTGAATAAATTTATTTAGCAAATATTTATTGAACATCTGTGTGCCAGGCAACAGCGATACTGCATAGAGCAAAATAAAAATCCTTGCCTACGTGGAGCTTGGGTTCTAATGGGGGAGACAAATAAAGAAACAAAAAAAGGAAGAAAGAGGGAAATAATCAAATATAAAGGGTCAGACAGTGGTGAGTGCTAAGCAGGGTAAGGGGTTGGAGGTGCCAGGGCAGGCATTCATAATTATTGACTCTTGAATGAATGCTGCCCATTCTGTAGCTTCATGCCAGAGAAGGGCAAAGTGTGGTACTGGATGTCCTGGTCAGGTGAATTGTGGTGAAACACGGTGATCCTCCAAGTGCACTAATTTTTGCTCTCATGTCATCGCCCAACCAGTATTCGCTGTTTCATCTGTTTGTTTTCCCTCTTAATTACAGGATGCAGCCCAGCGGATGCTAGCCACAGGCGAATGTACTCCTGAGGATCTATGTTTCTCTCTGCAGGTAATGGACTAAAAAGCTAGGACAGAAAGTTGGGCTGAAGAAGCTTTTATATAGTAGAGTTAAGCTGGGATCCCCTCTGATGTTTTCACCCTGTCTGCCACCCACAGGAAACTGTGTTTGCCATGCTGGTAGAGATCACAGAGCGAGCCATGGCACATTGTGGCTCCCAGGAGGCCCTCATCGTGGGAGGTGTGGGGTGTATGTATCATTGAACAGTGCTCCTCTTTCCTATCATTGGGCATGTGCGTCTTCCTCCTGACATTCTAAATCCTAAGGGTTTGGGGAAATTATTAGTCTCATTTCTTGTCCTATGTTTCCCAGTCCTTGCCACCTAGATCCCTACTTCATTTTCCTAAATAAATGCACATGAGGTGTACAGCTGGACCGTGGAGAAATGGCTAAAACTAAGCTAACCCGACCCCTACCTCTTCATAGGTAATCTGAGGCTACAGGAAATGATGGAGACAATGTGCCAGGAACGTGGAGCCCGGCTTTTTGCCACAGATGAGAGGTAAAGGCCCTTCCCCTTTCTGGATTTCTTTTTTTTTTTTCCCAATTACTGTGATTTTCCACTGTTAGACCCCAAATTTCATTATCTCTTTCCCAGATTCTGCATTGACAATGGAGCCATGATAGCCCAGGCTGGCTGGGAGATGTTTCGGGCTGGACACAGGACCCCCCTCAGTGACTCTGGGATCACACAGAGGTGAGTACCCCTGTGGAGGGGCTGGATTGGATTATATGGGAGGTAGGCAAAAATCAGCAGGGAAGAGGGTCCAGAATCATGAGGGCAGAGAAGGATGGATGATGCTCAGGGATAGCCGTCCACCAGATTTCTCCTATTATTTCACAGATATCGGACAGATGAAGTAGAAGTAACCTGGAGAGACTAAGAAGGTTAAGAGGATCAAGGTGGATAGTGCCTAAGAGGAGCCCAGGGGACTCTGGTCCTAATCTCTGTCCTGAGATGGGAGTCCTAGCAAGGCTGTGGACTCCCCTCTCCCATCATTTGAACTCAAGATGACTCAGCAATAAAATATTTTGGAGTTTGTATGTTGGTAATCAGCTTGTGTTGTTCAGGAACAGTATAGAGTTGGCACTGGATAAATCCTTGGTGATGAGGTGAATGGATAAAGAGGCAGGGATCAGAGCAGCATCCTCTGCAAGCTGACTGCAGGTCGCCTTGGGGGCTGCTGCTCTGGAGATAAGATTGAGGGGATCTTAGGTACTATTGTAACATCCCCTTAATAATGGTATTATAACTAATATTATTTTAGTATCAGGCCTTGTGCTAACTGCTTTACAGTCATCATCTCATTTAAATTCTTTGAAGTAGATACTCAGGACTTCCCTCAAAATAGCCTGGAACCAGGTCTAATTTCACACTAATTTATAACTCAAGAGTAAAAGTGTTCCTCCTCCGTATACTTACCCCTACACACACTTCCGTTGGCAGCCTTGAAGGGAAGGCCAGGCCTACCCTACCACAACGACCAGAACTAATCTCATCATGCCCTTATCTTGTTTATGTCAATCACTACACAAAGCCCCGAACCACCAGGCCACCTCCATCTTTTACACTCTAATAACCCTTATTCTCCACCTCCCCGTCTACCTCCCTCTTCCAACTTCCTAAATTCTTTGCTCTCTGAACTAATAGCCAGTCATTAGCAAAATTTCCTATATCCTCAACCTCTTCTCTGAATGTTCCCTTTACATTTCTGCTCTGAGCCCTGGTTTCCCCTGAGGACTCTGCTTTTCCTACTGCCTCTGGTGGTGCACATTGTACCACTGGGCCTGGAGGCAGTGTGGGTGTCCTCATTTTTCCTCATATTATTTTCAGACAGTTCTCTTTTTTTTTGGTGAGGAAGATCAGCCCTGAGCTAACATCTGCCAATCCTCCTCTTTTTTGCTGAGGAAGACCGGCCGTTGGCCAACATCCATGCCTATCTTCCTCCACTGTATATGGGGCGCCACCATAGCATGGCTTGCCAAGCAGTGCGTCAGTGCGCGCCTGGGATGCGAACCCGTGAACCCCTGGCCGCTGCAGTGGAGCAGGTGCACTTAACTGCTTGTGCCACCAGGCTGGCCCCCAGACTGTTTTCTCTTATCCCTAACACACCTCAGCTTTGAAACGTATGTCATTAGACTATTTCGTGCCAATACCACTTCTCTCAGAAATCTTGGTGATTTTAATATCCATGTAGATCATCTTTCTTACACTCTGGTCTCTCAGTTCTTTGCTCCTCTGGTGATCTTGTCCTCCAGACACTCATTCCCTTGGTTATATTCTAGACTTACAACTGCTCCATATCCCAATCTCAAAACATTCCACTCTTCTACCATTACCTCCTGTCTTTCCAGTTCATTCCCTTTAGTGCACTGAATCCAGCAATTCATCCCTTCACCAGGACCTACAATCCATCCATTGATCTTCTTTCCTTTCCGCTGACCTCATCTTCCACATGTCTTCATGTCCCCCTCCAGCTAAATTCCAATCACCAGCACTTCATTGCAAACACGTATCTCCCTTGCCTCTCTTTTGCTTTTGTCATACTCTCCTCTTCACCTACTTTACGCCTAGACCCATACAGCTGAAAGGGCTAGCGAAAAACAGCCAGGCTGACTTGTCTTTAAATTCATCACCATGAAACTTAAGTGATCCTTTATGCTCCCTAGCAATATCCCCTAGTCCTTTCACTTGCCTTCTTTTCTGATAACTGTTTCATATGTTCTGACCCCTCAAATCTCCACTATCTTCACTCATTCTCATCTTTCTTTGGTTCCCATTTCAGTGAAAAAATGGAAACAATCAGAAAATGTTCACAAGCTCCCACCACTACATCTAACCCCCTTCCAGCATTTATACACATATACTCTGCTTTCCCTCCTGTTTTTATAAACGAATGGTTCTCAACTGGGTCTGATTTTGCTCCCCAGAGGACATCTGGTTGTCACAGCTGGGAGGCAGTGCTACCAAGTAGAGGCCAGGGATGCTGCAAAACATCTTACAATGCACAGAACGGTCCCCCACAACAAAGAATTATCTGGGCTAAAGTGTTATTGATGTCAAGGTTGAGAAACCCTGCAATAAACAAACTGTCCGTGCTCCTGTACAAATACTTGTGCAGTAGATCCCATCCTCTAGCTTTTAAAGGACATTTCTCAATAATTTTCCCTTTCTTGTAGAGTCAGAATTTCCCTTTCTCTCCTGGATCTTACTATCAGCACACAAATATGCTATCATTTTCCTCATCTTACAAATATATAAACCCCCCAACACCATTTCCCCTTCCATTGTTTCCCATTTTTCTGCTCTATTTTATAGCAAAACATCTTAAAAGAGTTGCCTCCAGTTCCTCTCCACCAATTCCTTATTAATTTCACTCCACTAAGACTGTTCTTACCATGGTCACCAATGGACTTGCAGAAACCTAAATCTAATGGTATATTCTGCTTCATCTTTTTTTTTTTTTTTTTAATGAGGAAGGTTGGCTCTGAGCTAACATCTGTGCCAACCTTCCTCTGTTTTAGTATGTGGGATGCTGCCACATTGTGGCCTTGATGAGCGGTGTGTAGGTCCACGCCTGGGATCCGAACCCTCAAACCCCAGGCCGCTGAAGTGGAGCACGTGAATTGAACCACTACGTCACCGAGCCAGGCCCTTGCTTTGTCTTACATAGGCGGTCAGCAGCATCTGACACTCCCTCTTTGAAACATTTTCTTTACTTGGGTTTAGGACATATTCTCTGGGTGTTTGCCTTCTAGCTTGCTGGCTGCTCTTTCTTAGTCTCCTGTGCTGGTTTCTCCTCATCTCCACAACCTGTTAACTCTCTAGAGTTCAGTCCTTGGACTGCATCTATATTTACACACATACTTGCAGTGATTTCATCCAGTCTTATACATTAAAATCATTTCAGTGTGGATGACTCCCAGTTTTTCAGCTCCAACCTGGATTTCTGTCCTGACTAGCTGCCCATTGGCATCTCCACTTGGATGCTTAATAATCATCTCAAATTTAACATGTACAAAATTGAACTTACTTTCGCCCCAGCTTACTGCTGCAGTCTTTCCTATTTCAGTTAGTGACAACTCCATCTGTCTAGTTGTTCATGTCAAAGCACCTCAGTATTATCTTTGTCACTTCTCTTTCATCCCCTTCAATTTATGAAATCACGTTGACTTTACCTTCAGAATACATCCAGAGTCCCATTTCTTCTCACTTCCACTACCGCCACCCGAGACCAAGCCAGAATTATCAGTTTCCAAGATTATTGCAGTAGCTTGTCTTTCTGCTTCCACCATTGTCCACGTATAGTCAGTTCTCAACATGGCAGCCAGAGTGAATAGTGTTAACATGGAAGCCAGGTTATGTCACTCTTCTGCTCAAAACCCTCTGTGTTCTATATCAGAGTAAAAACCAGGGCCCTGTGAGACTCTCCTCAATCTGCCCAACCCCGTCCCACTTACTGCTTTGACCTCGTTTCCTGTGACTCATCTCCTTGTTCACTCTGCTCTAGCAACATTGGCCTTGTCTTCCTTAAACACTGAAGGTGTGCTGACCCTCAGGGTCTTTATACTTGTCCCTTCTACCTGGAAAGCTCTTCCCTCAGGTTTAGCTCACTCCATCATAGTCTTTAAATCTTTGCTCAACTTTTTTTCTCTTTAGTGAGGCCTTCCTGACAATGCTACGTAAAACTGCATTCCTCTAGCACTTTCTAGGCCCTTTCCCTGTTTTGTTTCTCTTCATTGCACTTACCACCTTCTAATCTAATACTTTTATTTATTAATTTATGTTCATTGTTTGTCTCCTCCCATTAGAATATAAACTCCATAAGGGAGGGGATTTTTATCTTCTTTTATTCATTGCCATGGCATCTCCCAGTATTTAGAATAGGATCTCACACATAATAGACCTTCAATTAGGGTTCACTGAATGAATGAATAAGTTAATGGGGAAGTAAACCAAAGAGATAATCAAAGGACTATAAAGTAAGACTTGGGCCAAAAGATAAAAGAATTGAGATTATATGAGCTTGGGAAAAGAGTAAGTTTCTGATGTCTTACTAAGTAGATAGTGATAAATACTTTTCATTTATGAAGGATAGACACATAAATGTGTTGACAATGCACAAAGACGTGGAGGTTTCAAGTCAGAAACTTTGGGATGGAAGATAGAAGATAAATTCCTCCCCTTGAATGTATTTGAGGAGAAGAGCAAACTCTGTTTCTGTAGGCTTGGAGAGTTAATTTTATAAATGGGCAGCAAGTATGTTACATTAGCCTCAGGGTTTTGTTTGTAACTTTTTATTAATATTAAGGGGTGAAATGGATCTTGGAGGGAGGACCTTCTTTAGCACTGTAGTCCCAGTTGGTATTGCGTAGTAGGGAAGTTCTTTCCTCAGGGAGTTTTGGGCTCTTGTCTGAGGCTTCCCAAGGGTAGCCTCAAAGTTTGTGGAGCCAAGAAATCATGGCTCCTTGAGTCCTAAATTGTGGGCAACTCTTCCTAGCTCAGTCTCTCCTGAGTCGCTTACTGCCAAGTCCTGCTGCTTTCCATGAATGAAGGCAATGGGGCATGTCAGGCCCCTGGACAGCATCTCCAGCCAGGTCATGTGGAGGGCCCCAGGGCAGGCTGACCAAGGGATGACAGGTAGGCTCCTGTTATGGAAGGCAGTGTGAGGCATGGAACATGTTCCTCAGTTTTTCTAGCCATCAGACTAGCCCTGCCCCTGGGATCTACACCCCTGCAGTTTGGAATTTTCCCAGACTCACATTACTATGAGGGCAGCATCCTGGGAATATTGCCATAGGACTTCATGAAGACACATGTGCCACTCCATCTACGTGGTTAGGAAGAACGGGCAGAAGACAAGGTGAGTGCCATTATCAGTTCCTACTCTGGGACAGTTGCCCCACTGCTGGCCCTGTTCATGTGTACCTGCTTTTGGTTCCCCTGTAGGTCCTGCTCAGAGATGTAGCCCGAAGGATCAGGAGTGTTGAGAGAGCTAGATTCCAGGTCCCCCTTTGGTGGTGGCTTCTGCAACCAGTGAAAGGCCACCAAGTCTTCAAAAGCCTTTTGGCTACAGAGAAAAGAAACCTCAGATTCAGCAAGAAGCAGAGAGTGTCTGTCGTCCCCTAAAATTTCTGTCCTGGGGGATTTAGGAAAAATAGGGCTTCTTCACTCTTCAGTTTTTCTCTATTTTGCTGCCTAAACTCTTGGGTTTCTTTCAAACTGGTAACCATAAACCCATTCAGATGTAGGTAGAGACTACATCTACTCTGTTGCAGCCAGAACTCCCCACCGCAGTCCTCTTTCATCAGACTTCAGCTCCTCCTCTCTCTCTCCCACTTTGCGTGCCAGAATAATCAGTTAAGTTATAGCTTGTCTCACACTTGCAACCTTACGTTCTTAGCTCTGAAGAAGGAAGACAGGAAGGGAAGAAGTGTATGGGGTAGCGGGCTGGTCCTGACCTCGTCTCTTGAGGTTTGCCCGTGAGCTCAGGTAGTACAGTCACATGTTGGAAGCCAAGCCTGAACCTTCTGAGGAGGGAATGTATCCTAGGGCAAGACAAGAGAGGAACTGGACATTTTGCCTACATTTCCCAGCTCCTTTCCTATCCCTCCATCTGTAGCAAGTGACCCAATACCCTCCCCTCCCCTTCCTGTCTTTAGGCCATAACCTTGGGTTTTCTTGAAGTGCTCACTCTTTGTGTTTCTCCTCCAGCTGCTCAGGGGGACTGCTCACAAAAACTCGTACAGGACATCGAGCCCATTTTTTTGTGTGTGTCAGTACATAGGGGATCAGCATAGTCAGCCCTGTGAAGATAAGAGGAGAGGAAATGGGCAGCCTCCCTGCCCGCCTTCTCTTCAGAACTGGGAAAGGGAGCAAAGTGTGAAGGCCTCTGAGGTGGGAGGAAGGCATTGGGTACTTTGTAAATGCAGAGTTTGTTCTCAAGTCCTCCCTGGTTTTTATATCCCCATCCTCCCTTTCCTCTTCTCCTCTGGAACTTGGAGAAGAGTTGGGGCTTTTTAGGGAGCCACAGAGTCTCTACCTCCATTCTCACAGAGCCCGTACACGTCCAGTGTCCGCCAGCCCTGCTTGGACTGGAATGAGGTTTGAGGCTGCCGGTGTAAGGATACTGCCCAAGAAGAGAGAGGAAAAGAATGAGACAGATTCCTTATCCAGCTGAGCAATTGCTCCCAACTCAATATCATACCTTCCCCTCCCAGAAGAAAATTGTTGCTATCCCAGAGAAATGTCACGTGGCTTCTCTCTCCATTGACTAACCACACACCCTTTTCTGTTCATTTTACTGGGTGCTTATTTCTTCTCTTCCCCACTGCCTAACTCTGTTTCAGGATCTGTTTTAAGATTGGTCTCCTCTTCCTTCTGAGTATCCATTCCTATGGAATCCAAAAACCTTGGGTTTACTGGGAAAGGTGGGGGGTATAATACAAAACAATGTTGTCTTTTTGCATCCTTCCTCGAGCCACCCATTCAGTGTGGACACCCCAAGTGCAAGCTAGTTAGACGTGAGGTAGTATCAGAATTGGGGTAGTGCCAGAAAGCTTGCTCTGGAATTAGACCACCCCCTCCTGGCACACCCATCCTGCTACTTTGTATCTCTTGATCCACATTTCTCCCACCTGATTAAGATACCTTTAAAGCTTTCCCTCCTCCCCTAAGGTTTCAGGAGAACTAAATATATAGGTAGGGTCTTCAAAGAAAAATTTATTTTTCTCACATTCTGGTACCTGATTCTCTTCGGTCTCAAGCCTTGGTAACGAACCAAGTGCACTTGCCTCCTGTGTCTGTCATTGACAGCCAATTTCTATACCTCCTACACCTTATCCTTCTCTTAGGCCCATCCTTTTCAACTCACCTAGAGCTTGATGTTGGGTAGCCAGGCTTAAGCCACCTTGCATCCTTAAGAGGCAGATGCCATAGTTGTAGTCAAAGGCATCACTTTATGGGGGTAAAAAAGAGATTAGGAGCAAGAGCTGAAGAGAGGGGAGCTCCCCTTCCTGGTAACACAGGTACTCCTGGGTAGCTGGAGGGAACAGGGCTTCACCATAAGGATATTTCCTCTTCCTCTGGTTCCTGATCATCTCTAAGCCCATCTTCACCTTTCTCCCAACACTTACTGAAGAATGCTGACATAGTCCTTCACAGCTGATATCGGCACCTCCTGCCAATTTTGCTTATATCCCCAAACCAGCAAATTGGGCTTCAGCTGGCCCAAACCTGCAACCTGAAAGGAGAGGCAATGAGGAAAGAAGGGGATGTAGTACACTGGGCAGGGGTGACAGAAGTGATGCAGTTTGGCAGGCTGACCTGCATGAGGCTCTGGGCCCCAGAATGTAGCCTGGGGGCAGATGTGACTGTGTAGCACGAACGAATCTTCCGGACATTTACTCAATTGACATGATTCTCAGACTCTTGAATGGCTTGGGGACCCTCAGAGGAGGAGGCAGAAATGTAGGCTGGGGACTGTCCCTCCCTTAAGGCATCCTTCTGCCTGCCCCTCACTGCTTTCCAAGTTCTCTGAGCTCCCTGTTGATCAACTTACCTATTGATCTCCCTTTTCTCTTCCCTCTAGTATGGAGCCTCGCACCTCAGTCCCTTCCCACTGAGAGTCCATTCCCACTTCACTTACCAAGACCACATTCCCACAGGTCATGAGACTCATGTTCTTGGTGAAGTCCCCCACAAAATCCACCAGGGTTGGACGCTGGTTGGGGGACCACTTAGCACCAGGCACCGTGGCCTATGGAGAAGAAGGCAGGGTTAGTGTTCAGAGCTGTGATCAGCTCTTCCCCACCCATTGGGGGATTTTAGGGAGAAACCAAGAGTATTAGAGAGGCTTCTCCGTCTCACTGCATGATGAGGGAAGCTGGGAATCCTGGTTCCTGTGGCATCTGTCCTGCTATGGAGCACCCCTTTCTCAGTCCTACTCTCTCTATCCCACTAGAATTCTGTTCCCTTCCTTTGCCTCCAGGTTTTAGGAAGCTGGTTTCCTCTTATATCCACAGCAGGGACTACAAACTCAAAAGCCTGCAAGAATCAGTCATATAATATCAAAGAATAAAGTGGGCCAGGTGGGAATAGTGGAAAATTGGAGAGAACCTTCCCTGTCCTATGTGACAGCAACTAAGTGTGTTATGTCGGGTGGAGGCCCAGGCCTACCAGATGCATATTAAAATTTGGCAATTAATTTTAAAAATTGTAAACACTGTCCAATCTGAACAAAAATCATTTGCCGGCAAAATCCAATCCAGAGGCCAGTTTTCAACCTGTGTTCTAGAGACTACCTCACCAGATGTTCCTGACGTGGTCCTGCACATTGGTCAGGCTCTCTAAGTAGGACAGCGCCACATGATAAGTACCCACCTGGAGAGCCCCAGTTCACATCTGTGCAGAGGAAGGGGTGGTGCAGAATGGTTAGAGGTGGGGCCTCACTTGTCAGGTAAGAGAGGAAACAAGATTTACTGTTGGTAGTTCTGGATTTCTTACAGGGTCAGCCTCTTGCTGTAGGTCACTCCCTTACCCACCTGCCCACTTAGTCACCAGGTTTCCTGTGGAATGTATAGAGAAGCAGCAGGAGGATAAGCAACACAGCAATGAGTGCTGCCCACCAAGTGAGGAGGAACATGATGAGCAGGCAGAGCAGAGAGCCCAGGAGGGAGAGCCAGGGACTATACCAGTGGAAGGAAGGGTGCCAGCCTGCAGGGGAGAGTGAATGCAGCCCATCCCTTATCCAAGCCTTGGTACCACCCACCCTTGCACCCCAAGGATGTTCCTCCAGCCCTGGGCCTGACCCTAACACCTGCCTATACTAACCAGGCAACTGGCTAAGGGAGGCACAGAAACAGCCAAAGTTGACCAGGGCATAGGAGCAGAGGAAAAAGTTGGAGATGATGGGAGCAGTGGTGTTCAGATCAGCTTTGGGAGAGATGAAAGGTCAGACGGTCAGTCTCCAAACTGGAGCCGTGGGATCTGGGTCTGGAGAGTCAAGGACATCATCTTCTGGCTTCCCTTTCCCCACAGTTTCTATTCCCTACTCCCCACTCCACCTTCCACACACACCACCACCACCACCAAGTTAGCAGAAGTTTCTGTCCACTTTCAGGACTAGAGAGAGAGAAAATAGGCTTTAGGGTCAGGCCCTAAAAGCCAAAGCTAGGGCAGTGGGGGGAGTGTAGGGACAAGTGACTTAATGAAGCCCGATGGAGGGGGCGAAGGAGGAGTACTCACCAGTAAGGATGAAACCTACAGCAATGAGGAAGGTGAACAGATAGCCTCGCAGAGGTTCATGGTTCTTGACATAGCCTTTCCCAAAAAAACCAATGACTGGGTATAGTTTATCCTGGCACAGCCCCTATAAGAAGGCATGGCGATCATCGGGGTAGGGTCCCAGGAAGAAGGAGAATAATAGCCCCCTAGTCCTCTAAAGAGGTCGAAGGGAGCGGGAAGCACAGAGGAAAGAGTTGAGGGAGCTTAGGGGCCTTAACAGGAAGAAACGATAGAAGGAGTAGAGTGTGGTCAGACCCCTTGGAATGTGGGATGGAAAAAACAGAGGAGGCAGATGGAAGAGTGACATCTTTCCCAAACTTTGCCTTGATTTACGGGCAGACTTTGAATTTTGCTGTGTGAACTTGGATCCTCTCTTAAACACCAGCCAATTACAGTCATCTCCATCTCCCTAAGTCACCATCTAACTCCTGGTTTGCTGAGACTGAGCCTTCTTTTGCTCGTCCCCAAAAATTATCCTCTTGGGATGGCCCTGTCTACTTACATTCTCTCCTTTCTCCCCCAAGCCTCTTGGTAAGATATTAACCTGGAAGACTTTGGGGGCTGAAACAAAGCAGAAAAGGGCAGAGGACAGAGTGGCACTGAAGACCCCAGCAGACGTCGGGGGTCTGAAGGCAGACACCATGCTCATGGCCTGAGGAGAAGGGCAAGCAGAGGCAGAAATCAATGCATTCCAGAAGCAATGCGTTCCACCCATATTTTCACCTAGCTTTCCCAGAAGTTGCAGGGCATATTAAATTTTATCCCATTTTTGAAGGTTTTACCTACCCACATGAATCCACTTATGTCATTACTGGTTTTTGAGCCTCTATGCCAGGCAATGGGCTAGGTAAGATTTATCTGCCTGCTCTTTCCCTCTGGTTCACTCACCTGGTAGTGATTAGAGAGCCCATGGAGGCAGGACCCTTCCTCTCGACAACTGCTGAAATCCCAGCCGTACTGGCGCTCTGGCCTCAGGCAGCTCCCATTCCACACGCCCATGTCAGTCCTATTTCCTGAAGCATCTCGAATCATACAGGAGCCTGGAAATGAGATTGAGGACACACACTTCTTCATAGGGAGAGACCCCCATTCCAAAGCAGTAGGACTATCTAGGTACCACCAGTGCCAAAGAGGGGAATGGAAATGTGTGTGCATGAGTGGGGGACCAAATTTAATAGTCAAAGAACACCATAAAATTTATTAATGATATGAGGATGAGGACAAATGGTGAAGGAACGGGGGTGCTACTAGTAAACTACTTTTAATGTGATTGATGAATGCCTCTTGCTCATTTCATCACCTATACCCTAGCCCCTCAGAGAGGCACAAACCAGAGCTCCAGGTCACTCTGCACAGAAGGCAAGAGTAGAGGGCCTTACCAATGGTGGCATAGATACCCAGGTAGGAAAGTGTGGTCCACATGATGGCAAGGAGGGTTCCTTTGGGGATAGCTGTAGCAGGGTCCTGAGAACAAAAGTTGAACCATTAATGGAGAGAGAAGAGAGGAGACAGAGAGTGTGCTCTGTGCCTGGACATCCTTCTCACCTTGCGGTCCCCAGAAATATTGGTCCCAGGGAGTATCCCAGTGGCTGAGGAGAAGAAGATGGAAAACATACCAAAGAAACTACCCCCTGGACCACGCCGCTGTGGGACCATATTTTCCAAGAAAACGCTTCCTACGTAAAAGAACAGAGAGAAAAGATGGAGTTTTGAGGAGCACTTCCTGGCTTCCCTTCATTCAGCCAAGATCATTTACCCAGTTTGGTGTCAGTAATTTAGGATAGGCTGGGAAGAATAAGGGAATTTTGTAAACTGGCCACCCCAGGGACTTAACGGGACTCTGAATGGTCTGATGTTCAACTTGCAAATGACATACAGAATCAGAAGTCAAGGGGTCTTTTCTGAGGAGCTTTGGGCTAATGATGTCCCCTGCTCCAAGGGGAGGTGACATTCTGAGGCATTCATTCCCTTTCACACATTTCTCAGCCAGGTTCCCACTGTCTCACCGTGGTACCCAAAGAAGCCAGTGGCTTGTCGGCTGGGGTGTGTGGGGGGGAGTGTCCCCAGCCGGTAGTTGATAAAAGAGAGGAGGGTCAAGAAGAAGAAGATCATCTGGGCCTGGAGTACCATGGGTGACAAAAAAGAAAAAGAGAAATGTGAGTGGAAGGGGAGGAGTAACTGCTCCTCCGCCTCCTCATTCCTCATTCTCCTTGTCTCATCTTCACTCTCCTCTCCAATCCTCCCGTTCCCTCTCCCACCAGCCTCTTCCCATAAAAGAGTCTGGCTAACTGGATGTCTTTTTCCTTCTTGCTTCAAACCGCAAAGTGTCCCTTCCCATGCCAGAGGGGTGAATCTCAAGATTGTAAATATCTGGGAGCAAGAAACAGGGCATTTCTCATCTGGTAGTCTTGTCTAGTGCTCATCCCAGCAGATCCTCAGAATGAGTCCTCCTTACTTTCCCTTTGAGGAACTGATATGTGGAGTCTATCCCAGCAGAACCGTCTAGCTTCAGGTCTGGGTTCCTGAAAATCTGCTCTACCGGCTACATACCCACACACTCCTACAATTCCTCACATTTGGCCCCTCCCAGATCTGTTCAGCTGGCACCGCCACCCCCTCAGCCTTCTCACCCCCACCTCGATTCCCCTGCACCTGCCTTAGACTCCCACTCCACACCGGCCAGCGCCACACCCAGAAGGATGGTCAAGATCACCATGCCCACCACCCGCAACTCATTTTCCAGATCCGTGTTCAGCAGCTACACCTCATGCTCCTGGAGCGGCAGAACACAGAGCTAGGGGGTCACAGAGACCTTATTGGCTGATTTGATGCCTCCATCTGATGCTTAAAATGAGTTGCCCAGGCTGGAGTCACAAAAAGTGCAAGCTGAGTGGTCAGCGAACTTGAGTAAATGGTGCATCAAGGGAGAGGATGGGCATTACAAGGGGCAGATCCGAAAGGGTCTCCACGAAGCCCACCGTGTGCATAGCCACAGCTACTGAGTTGGCAAAAGCGAAGATGATCCCTAGGAACCGCCAAGCTCCGGACCCAGGCTGCCCAAGATAAGGAAGTACTTGCCACCTGAATGGAGAGGAAAGAGGAGCCAGTCTGAGGTCTCAGCAATTCCTGACAGGACTGGGAGTCCTGAGAGAGAGGGTTGTCGCAACAAACTCACCAGCCTTGATTTTGCTGTTGGTGGAGATGGCTGCAATAGACAGGCCGGTGATACTAGTGACTGAAGCCCAGAGCAGGATAATGAGCCATGTGAGCCCTGGAATGGGTATGGGAATGGGGCTCCTTTAATTCATTCAGGCTGTGGCGGGGAATCCCTTCCTACTGCCCAGCAGAGTCCCAAACTCATACCTATGCCCGCCTGAGCAGTGATCCAAGGCAGCCGCAAATAGAGGACGACGCCCCAGATGTTGAGCATGCAGCGGATCTGGGGGAGCAGAGTGGTGAGGGAGGAACCGAGGTAACTCTCAGGTCCCTCCTCTCTCCCTCAGCTGCTACCCTCCGAGAATTCCTCTGGAGTGAAGTTCTGTCTCCCCCACCTAGATCCCCACCCTTTGGAAACCCTGAGCTCCCGATCCGTTACCATGACTCCCCTGACCCAGTCGAAGTACAATGGGGCCTTGCCAGGCCTGGCTCCAGAATTCTCTGGATCATCTTCTTGGGAGTGCGGCTGTGCGCAAGGCTCCTCTGCAGAGGCGGAAGCCGCGCCATCCCCTGGCTGAAAGAGACAGCACAGACGCAGCTGTGATTCCAAGACCCCTCCCCATCCCCTTGTCAGCAACCAGGAGGACGGCTAACAGACCTGGAGGTGCTATGGGGGGAGATCAGACCCAAGGCGTTAATGGAGGGTGGACGGACGATGGCCCAGAACAGCGGGTTTTATCCAACCTTCAGGGGTTCACTGTGGGGAATGGGTCTTTCGGAGGCGGAGCCCCGCAGAGACTTCAGAGACAGGCGGCTGCGGCGGAGACATCCCAGGACCATAGAGTTAGCATAGAACCCAGAACGCGGTCCAGTGTCCTTGTCCTCGTCGGCGAGGAGAGGGCAGAGGCTGCACTGGGGTGAGTCTCCGCCAGACGGCTGTTCCTCCTCTTCCTGGCGGAGGCTCAAGGTGCTGGCCTCGTAGTCTCTCTGCCGGGAGGCCATAAGAAGAGGCCGAAACGTCTGAGCTGGGAGAGACGGTGCAGACTGGTCACTATCACCATCGCACTATTTTGGAGAGTGCAGTCCGCGGGTTGGGCTCGCCCGGAAAACGCTATCCCGGGTCGGAGAGGGTACCCAAGCGGCAAATGGAGAAAGAACGGGGACAGCTCCGAAAACCAGAGGCGTGCTGTGCGGAGCAACCCACCTTCCCATTCCTCCCCAACGCGAACGCCGCCTCTCTCACCTGAGCCGTGAGGAACAATCTTGCTTCGCTCCCTGGTTAAACCCGCTTGTTGAGTCAATCTATCCAGCCTGGACTAGCCCTTTTATAGGCCAGGGAATCCACCCTAGCAGCCCTTGGCCCGTCCTACCTCCCGGGAGAGGGGAGGGAAGGGGCATTGCTGCGCTCTTTCCTAATTTCCTTTCCCATCAGGATACCTGGAACTGCAGTGAAAAGTGATTGCCCGGATTTAGGGGGTCTCAGAAGAAAGGGGTGTGGTCCCAGATAGAGGAAGTGGCCGTTGGTGTGCTGCCTCAAACAATGAGAATGCTTGCGCGCCCCCAGCCCATCCATCCAGTCCAGGACCCCGGTCCCCGCAGCAGCTGAGATCGCCTGCACGTTCCGTTGTCTGGGCCTCATCCCAGCGACCAAGGTGAGGGTTAGACTCCTCCAGACTCTTCTGAAGACCCAGGATTGCGTTTAGCTATCTCACCACCGACCCCTCCTCGGGACAGGAAGGATATTCTGAGCTGGGGTGGGTCACCTAGGGTCCGTAGCCCTGATTCCTGCCCCTTCACCTTCCCCCACCCTCACCCCCGCCTTAGGTGGACCCAGCCAGGTTACGTTTACCTTTATGTCAGCACTGTGTTGTTCGCTTCAGGGTCCCAGCTTCATTGCACAGAAAAATCGACAGTCAAAGCCCAGGACTGACCCAAAACACACACTTCACTCTTCTCGCCCGGTTCTCGAGGGTCTGCGCAGTCTGGACTCTCTTTACCCGCCCCCTTCAGCCGGGTCAGGTGAACGAAGACTTTCTGGCCTGGCTCACTCCGTCCGATCCGCACATCCTCCTTGGCCTCCGAATTTGCCTCGTTCAGCACCGTGACCTACAGGTGGAAGAGGGGACGAGGTCATCTCGGGACCAGGCCCAGGGGATTGAGTGTCAGAGTTCGGGCACCCGGAGCCCAGCTCCTAGCCCGCCAGCACCGGCTATAATTAGCCGAGCGAGGCTCCTGACCCGGATGCGGAGCGAGTTCCCTCTGCCTCGCGGTGCGAAGCAGAGCAGGCTCGAGTGCGAGGGCAAGCGGAACGACGGTGACTATTGGGATGGGGGCAAGATGGGAGGGGTACGGCCCCAGGTACGGGATCTTTTACACATGCTACTTGAATTCTTCGCTGCACCTCCTGAATCCCATAGTTGCGCAGTATAGCCTAGCTGCTCGACCTTGGAATGGGGGGTGGGGGGGTAGACTTGAAGTAGGGAGAGGGACTGACATGTCGCTGGGCTGGACGCAGGGGTTCCTCGGGCCTCCAGGTCCAGCTCTGCCCACCCCCCTCTTTCCTCTGCTCACCTGCAGCAACCTGGGCCATGAGCGTCTCGGACTCCGCACATCGTCCCTCGGACCCGGCGCGCGTCTCTCTTCCGGTCCAGACAGACGGCCTTGACCTCCCTTCGCCCGCCGCAAGAACCCCCTCCTGGCCTCCGTCCCCGGACGAGGATACCGGTTTGCCCTCCTTTCCTCTGGAAGAGCCTGGCTCCAGTCCCATGGCCGCAGGGAACCTTCCCTTTCCAGCCTTATCCCTGGAAGAAGAAGAGGATGAGGACGAAGAAGACGCGGAGGAGCCCGAGGGGCTGTGCAGCGACGAACATCCGAGTCAGTTTTTCGCGGAGGCACAGCGGCTGCGGGAGCAGAGGTTGTTGCTGGACGAAGAGGTGTCAGTCGGGGGGCGAATATATGGGGTGCATCGCGTGATTTTGGCAGCAGTTAGCAGCCTCTTCCGAGACAGGCTGCTGGGCAGCGGAGGTCCGCGACCCCCCTTTAGCCTCGATGTGGACCCCGGGGCCTGGGAGGCCGTGCTGACCTTTGCCTATGAGGGGGTGCTGGGCCCCGCCCCGCTGGGGGATGTGCTGGTCGCGGCCGAGGCCCTGGGAGCGCCCCGGGTGAAAGCCGCTGCCCAGAGGAGACACCAGGGGGCTGGAAACGCCCGGAAAGATGAAAAGCAGCCCAGCCAGGCAGAGGAGCTGAGGGAGAACCTGCGCAGCATCGAGCTCCTATACCAAGAGGGCGCCGGGTGTGACCTGGAGCTGGAGGCAGGCGGCTGCCGGCTGCGGGGTGAGGGCCTGTGGAGCATTACATTACCGTAGGTGCATGTGCTACGGGAATGGTGTGTGCAAGCAGCAGGTGGTTTGATCCCTACCATAGTGGTTTTGATCCCTCTTGCAGTCAGAATTTCCCTGGGGTAGCCTTTGATGTCTCTCCTGACCCACTGAGAGTGGGGCATGCGCAGTCGAGTTGTTTTCCTCAGAGCACTGACAGAATTAGGCTGACCCTCCGCGCTGTGGCTTTTCCTGTGCCCAGTAACAAGGGATTTCCAGCCAGCTGGCTGGAGCTAAGGGTATAGTCCGCGCCAGAAGAAGCAGCAGAAAGTGATTGACTCAAACAGGGATTAACCAAAGGCTCTTCTTGGCATCTCCTATTTAGAACACAGGAAAAGCCAGGGGAACACCGTGGAAAAACCTTAGAGCTATGCTTTCATCTAAGTGTGCTTGACACCATGGCAGACATGGGCCTACTGCTAATGAGCAAGGTCTGGTACTGTTTTGCCAAAATCTTAAGGCTACCAGGCCATTGCACTTTGAAGCTAATTCAACTCATCACCAGGAAAGCTAAGGAAGGTTTAATAAGTTGAATATTATTCAGATTCTCCTAACATTTAGTGAGGTACTGGCTACCAGGAATTTTTACCCATGCCA